TCCAGCCTGAATGATTCTGGGATTCCAGTGTGATGCTGGATCCACATCAGAGCCCCTGTTTCCAGTGATTGCTGCTCACTGCTGGAATAGCTGTTCCACAGCAGCTGAACCCTCACCTTGCTGTCTTTGCCTCTCTCTCGAAGCCACGACGAGGATGAAATCCGGCCCGTGCAGCAGCAGGATCTCCACAGGGCCATCGAGAAGATGAGGAAATCCAAGGATGTCTCCATGCAGAACCTCGCCATGGAGATTGTTTTTGATTAAGCCCAAAGAGCGTGTTTGCAGTTCCTGACGTGATTTAGTTTGACTTCTGTAATCAGTTAGCAAAACCAGTGCCGGGGGCGGGAGCGGGGGTGGCCCGGGGAGTTCTGTTGTCTGGAATCGTTTCGATACAACAACTTCTAAGTTATTGAAATTCCATCGCGCCACTGGAAGTGCAGCAAGAGATCATGAGTGGAACAATTGAGCCCAGCCCGAGAGTGTTGTCCCACACTGATCCACTGAGGAGCCTTCCAGCAGGTGGGACACGGGGGCGCCGGGGTGAGGGGGACAATCCGTGGCAGGGCTGTGCTACCTGTGACCTGTATATAGCCACACTTTTTTTTATATATAGACATAATCTGTAGATAACTTGAGTATGGAAAATCTTTTCTACTTACTGAAGCAAACCAAATCAGAAGATGCATAGATGAAAGGTTCCTCGATACTCAGTTCACTTCTACCTTTTAGCAGCAAATACCAAGATAGAAACTGCTTCTAGAACAAAGCAAACTTTGAAATGCTACTGATTTCTCTTTCACGTGACCACTTGAAATCTGGTGCCATTTAGTAAATATAGCAAACTACTCTGTACAAATGTTTGAATACTTTTAATTTTGTATGAATCCTGCTTTTTAAATGAACGCTGGTTTTATTTTGGGTTTTCCCTTGATGTGAGCAATTAGAGTAGACTCTTCCCTGGTCTCTCCTGAAGCCCCACGTGTTCTGAGCTCTCTGGAGCCGTGGCTTTCTGAGCTCCTGTGCATTGTGCTGAGGACTGGCTGCTCTCTGTGTCTCCTCTGGAGGCCCCAGTGTGGCACCAGCCCGTGAAGTGTCACAGCTCTGGGGCAGGGGGGGGACACTGTGTGATGTGTGGCTCTGTCCCACGCTTGGATCCGTGACACTGGAGAGCAGAGGAAGGGTTTTAGGCTTGTAAATGTGATTTAGCAACGTGCTGTGCTTGTTGGTAACAGTTGTGGTGAGTTCACGTTCTGTCGCGACGGAGGCGAAGGGTTGCAAATGTGAGTGGCAAAAGTGTTCTGGTGAAGTTTTTGTCAGAGATATTCAAGAACTTGATTTTTCTTTGTCTAATTTTACAAACTGTGCACTAATTGAACACAAATCTGCAAAGGGAATTGTTTCCTACCCCTGGGGTGGAGTGTTGTGTCACAGCTCTGCTGCCTGTGAGGGGAGGGAGGCGCTGGAAGCAGAGAATGATGTAAAACCAAACGCACTGCAAAGGAAAATAAAGTGAAATAAAGAGGGCTGGAGCCCTGCCATCACAGTGTCAGGGGCTGCTGAGTGTCCATCCAGCACAGCTTGCTCCCTGCCATTCCTGGAATGCTGGGCTGGGGATGCAGCAGGGCTGAGCTTGGCCCATTTAATCTTAAAAGCAAATGAGGAGGGAGGGGGGTTTAAAAGTAACTGAATAATTGCTTAGACTCCTTTTCTTGTATCAAAAAACAATGGGAGATGCACATTGCTCTAACACAGGGGTGTGGGAAATTAGGCACAGCAGAAACACTGTGCTATGGAAATGGGAAAAGTCTGGGATGTGGGATGCTAATCCTGCCCTGTCATGTTAGTGCCGGGGCTGAGGGCAGGGATGAGTGACAGTGCTGGCTCTGGGTTCAGGGAGCCAGTCCAGAGGAGGCCCCAAGAGGATCAGAGGGCTGGAGCAGCTCTGCTGGGAGGAAAGGCTGGGAGAGTTGGGATTGTTCAGCCTGGAGAGGAGAAGCTTTGGGGTGACCTGATTGTGGCCTTCCAGGGCCTGAAGGGGCCTGCAGGAAAGATGGAGAGAGACTATCTCCAAGAGCCTGGAGTACCAGGATGAGGAGGAATGGCTTCCCACTGCCAGAGGGCAGGGTTAGATGGGATATTGGGAAGGAATTGTTCCCTGGGAGGGTGGGGAGGCCCTGGCACAGGTTGCCCAGAGAAGCTGTGGCTGCCCCTGGATCCCTGGAAGTGTCCAAGGCCAGGCTGGAGCAACCTGGGCTAGTGGGAGGTGTCCCTGCAGGGGGTGGGAGTGGATGGTCTGTCAGGTCCCTTCCAGCCCAAACCATTCCATGATTCTGTGACTCACCTCAGAATTAAACCTGCAAATTGTGCTGCTTACCAGGATCTGTTTCTGGGGAGGTTGGAACAATGGCTGTGCCAGATGCTCCAGCTGATCCATGTGTTCCATGCCCATTCTGACACTCCTCTCTGGGGTTGTTACACCTGAGAAATGCCAGGCTGGGAGGCTCCTCCTGCACCTCCTTTTTTTCAGGCTGCTCACTATTTGGTAAAGACCCAGCACAGGCAAGTCTTAATTGGCATGAATTGAGTGTAAAGTGTATCCTCAGGGGAGCTTTAATGTCCCACTGAAGGCAGGGGAGCAGGAACAAACCCTGGGCTGTTGGCAGGTGCCAGGGGCAGCCTCTGGCTGAGCTCTGATCTGCCTGTTTCTCCAAAATCCTGGCTCTTGGCATGGTTGGAGCTTGCCTTTTCCTCATGCCCGTGTCACCGCAGGCGTAAGGGGCTGATGGAAGAGGCACAAGGAGTTATTTCTGGTTGCCCCTGAGGGCAGTTACTGCAGTTGAACTGCAAGTCCCACTTCTCCAAGAACCTTTCCAGACTTGTCTGCTCTTGCTGCTGCCTCAGGAGTCCTCGTCAAAGCACAAACCCTGCTAGAAAGGCTGGGGAGGCAGCGTGGTTTGTCCTGCAGGAATGTGGCTGCTATAATCCCATGGCTCCAGCAGTTTGATCCAATCCTCACCCTCTGCTCCTGCCTCTCCTCAGAGCTGGGGGTGAGCCTGATCCCTCTCCCACATCTCCAGGGCCAGCTCCTCAAACTGCGTCGAGTCTCCAGCGCTGAGCTCCGAGATGCAAAGCCAAGCTCCCCCCTCAAAAAAATCCAAGTGAGAGCTCCTTACGTGTATAAATATTTATTTGTACTAAAAGTGAGTGTTTCGTAGCGGACTATCGAGTTCAGAATATATTAAATCATGAGAGGCATCAGTTGAAGTACAAATTCCAGTCTCATGTCTTCAATAAATACACTATAAAACCCCCGGCCCACATACTCTAATCAGAGGTAATCGGGACACTACGCTGGTTTAACAGGATAAAACAACATCTGTGCTTGCTGTAACCACTTGGATTTACCACAGAGGGTTTTTTTAATGTTGGATTGTTTTATGATGAGCAGCAACGGTGCTACTTCACTCCTTAAAAATCCAAAGTGGGAATATTGCTTTTGGCTTCCAGGTCCCTGCCGGAGGGCCTGAGCAGATGAGGTGCTGAGGTGCTGTCGGCTCCCACCACGGGGCTGCAGCATTTCCTTGGGGTATGACACAAGCTTTGGGCTCTTTGCTCCAAATACTTTAAAAAATGACTTAAAACCCCAGCCAACAAGCCTTTTTGCAAGGCTGTTTTCCAGCCATGCCCAAAGGCTTGGACGCTGTGCCGTGGCCCAGCACAGCAGCTCTGAGCTGGCGGTGTCGCTCCCGACCCTGACAAGGGGAAGCTGGTGGGTTTTGCTGAGCACAGATCCATTTGTCATTAACACTGAGGCACAAGAAGAAGGGAACTCTGGTTCCTGTTCATTGGGAACACATCCTGACCGGATCTGGGGCAGCTACTAAAGAAGGACAGGTACAAAAATCACGAATTCAGGTCGTTGGAGTAACAAGTGAGTGCATGACTGTCCTCTGCTGGCACCTCCCGCCCGGGAAAGTGGAGTGGGATCAGCCCTTTCCCTGGGAAAGCTCCACTGGCCACAGGGAGCACCTGAGGCAGGGGCAGGTGGCCGTGGGGCTGCCAGGGGGATTCCTGGGGTGCAGCACAGCGGGTGAGGCTCCGGGGCTGCATCACTGCCTGCTCCCGGCCCAGGGAGGCAGCGGAAAAGCCTCAGGCACAGCAGCAAAGTCCAGCTCGGGCTGAGGCCGGGGAAGGAGGTGAAGTCTGGGGTAACTTTCCACCAGCCAGAGCTGGGAGCAGCACCAGGCACTGGCTCTCAGCTCCCCAAAGGGCTGGGGGGGGCCAAGGGCTTTCCTGCCGTGCCCCAGCCAGAACCACTGTCCCCATCCCGCTGGCACGGAGGGAATCGGGTCACCTGTACCCACACAGGGCTGCAGGTACAGAGGGGGGCAGGACCTCCAGCCTCCTCTCACCTAGTTTACCATGGACAGCTGCTCAGACCCCCCTCACGTGGCCACTTGGCTGTTTGGCCTTTGATTTGCCTTCCGGATGGGAGGAGCGCAGGCAGAGGGAAGGGGGATCCAATCCTGCCAGGCAGGAAGATACTCCATAGCATGTGGATGGCATCCCCAATTTTTTCTTGCTGCTCAGATCTTCCTCAGAGATCTCAGGATCTCAGGTGCCTCCCAGGCCAGCTTCCCCTGCCAGGCTGTGAGCACAGGGAGCACCACGGCACAGTCCCCACAGAGAGCTGAGCTCAGAGCACCAGGAACGCTCATCCAGGGTTTTGTTTGACCAGAGAGGTCAAACAGGAGGAAGGAAGCAAGGACTGACAGTGAGCAACTGGCTCAGCCACAAGGAACTGGTGGTGGTCAAGGCTGATTTTAAAAAATCCTTTTAAAAAAGGGCATTAAAAAGATTCCACTGTTTATCAGGGAAAACTGTCTAAGGCACAACCTGGAGGGCAGTGACTGGATCCAGGCACTGGGTGCCCGTTTCCCACCCCAGCAGCAGCATCTGCTCCTGGCTTCAGCACCTGCTCCTGCCTTGTCAGGCAGTGCTGGGAGAGGGGCACTGGGAAGGCACTTCTTCATTCCTGCTGCATGCAGGGACAGGCAGGATTTATCCTGGTGCTGAGCTTCCTGCCACCAGGCTCAGCCGGGAATGAAGGACTTGCTGCCCTTCTCCCTTCCAGCTCCACAAGGATGCTCCCAGCAGCTTCAAGGGGAGAAGGACCAGGCTCAAAGTATTTCTGATTAGTAAAAACCACTCTGACCTGGGTAGGAAAATCCCACAGTCAGAGCACTGGAAATGCCAAGTAACTGATCTGTGTCATAGGGAATCAATCAATCATTGCTCACTCTTAATACAAGTATTTCTGGGGAGGAGGACGAGTGTTAGTTCTGCTTTTCCAGCGACTGGTAGTAGGTGGTGAGGACTTTCCAGGCCTTGGGGGCCATGAAGCCGTCCGGTGGGTTCTCCCCTTCCCGAGCGAGTTTCCTCATGCGTGTTCCTGAGATGAAGTCAAAGTCGTCGTGCCTGTGCAGAACAGAGACAGGCGACGTCAGCACGGCTGGCCCGAGTCAGCCCCCGAGGGCTCCTCGTCCCAGAGGAGCTGGAGCATCCAGGACACGCTTCCCCAGCTGGGAGAGGCTGTTTCTCCTGCCACTCAGTCCCCAGACTGTGCTGCTTATCCTCCCTGTGCCACCTTTAGTTCCACGTGACCCATCCTTGACCTGGTGACAGCTCCTGGGGGGAATTCCAAGTGGCTTTCCCAGGTTCTCCCCCCACTCCTCTCCTTAAGAAGAACACCAAGGGTTTTCCCTCCGCCCTGGCAGGCTGTGAGCCCGAGGTGACCGCAAACCCCACGTGCCGTGGGGGCCGAAGGAGCCGCGACGCCGCTGCCGCGTTACCTTTTGGGGTCATAAAAATCCATGGCCCTTTTCAGCTTGTTGTAGGCAGCCACCCTGAAGGGGATGATCTCCACCGAGGTGAGCCCCGGGGCCATGCTGAGCACCTTCCCGCCGTGCGTGGGCTCGTAGAGGTCCTTCTTGGTGTCGGGGTGCGGCATCCCCGCGGGATCGCGCCCCACGATGTAGAAGTTGGCCCCCGCCATCATCCGGGCTCGGCAGTGCCACTGCACCTGCACGGGGGGACACGAGGCTGAGGGCTGAGCAGCAACGGGGCCCCCCAGCCCGGGCTGAGAGAGAGGTCCTGGCCAGGCACTTGCAGGAAAGAAGGAAGGAAGGAAGGCAGGAGATGTGTCGGCAGCCGCGCTGGGGTTTGTCGCAGCACTCAGGGCACCCAGACACATCTTCCACTGCTTGGACCCGAGGCAACCACAGTTCTCCTAAGGACACGTATTTCCATGGAAACACTGGGCATGGGAACGGGGTTTGTCCCAGGCTGGTGGCAAATGGAGGTCACAGTTGGAACCTTGAACATGCAAAAGCAGTGCATGTTCACACACCAAAGGCTGCCCACACACCCCTCCTCTCCTCCCTCAGGGCAGGTCCAGCACTGACCCTTTTCGTCCCAGCGACTTAGGGACGGAAGGGAAACACTGAGGGAAACCAAATGAACGTCCCTGCCTGACAGGAAAAGGTGAAATCTTGTTTGTCCCCCTTGTCCCCAGTGAGGGGATGGGAGCCAAGCTCTGCCAGGACATGGCTGTGGCAGCAAGGGCAGGGGAACCGTGGAGGGAACTGACAGTGAGGCTACAGCTCCCTTCCTGGGACTTCCCGGAGCAGCAGGGGTAGGCTTGCAGCAGAATCCCCACGGACAGGCTTCACACCTTGCCCTGGGGAGCAGCCAGGGGCTACGTTACCTCGGTGGGGCCGGCGTAGAGCATGGGAGAGGGGAAGATGGCCACGACGGTCGACTTGGGGTCCAGGACCTGCTCCTCCAGCACGGCCGCGTGCTGCTTCATCCGCCACTCCAGCGGCACGTCGTCATCCTTGGTCCACCCCCCCAGGGGGTGCAGGAGGAGCACAGGGTTCTTGTAGCCCCTCTCCAGGAGCTGGCGCCGCGTGTCCTGCATGAGCAGGGCGTGCCCGTTGTGCACGGGGTTGCGCAGCTGGAACGCGAAGACGGCGTCTGGAAGGGAAGGATGCTGAGGGTCAGGGGCTGGCACCGACCCTCGGGCGCCTTGGCTTCATCTCACACCCCTGGCATTCCCACACAGCCACAAGTGTGTCCTGTCTCCACACCAGTGAGGCCTTAAATACCTCAGGTGAGTGTTTCACACAGATCCATCGCTCTGCCAAGGTTGCTTTCATAACGCCCCTTTCCTTTGGGGCTGGTTTCAGTCCTATAATGTTCAGCCCTCCTGTCACGTTTGTAAGTGCCACCAGACACCTCCAGCAAGTTCCCCAACTTCCTGAGTGACCTGCCAGCTCCATGAGCTCAATGGCACCTTCAGGAAGACCAACACTCTCCCCAAAGCAAGGGTGGGTGTCCGACCTCTGCCAGCCTGCTGGGATGAGGTGGGACAGGGCTTGGAGCAACCCTGCTCTAGTGGAAGGTGTCCCTGCCCACGGCATGGGGTTGCAATGAGATGATTCTTAAGGTCTCTTCCAACCCAAACCATTCTGTGATTCCATGGGATAGCCCCCTGGGAGCAGACACCTGAGCTGTGCCCATGTTCAAGGCCAACCATGTCAGTGCAGACAGGGGGGCTCTGACCTGCCAGGGAGGACACGAGCAGGATGCTCAGCACTGTCCAGCCCATCACAAGCACCATCCTCAAACCACAGAGACCCTGCCCCACTTTTCGTGCCACGCCCTGGGTCCCTCTTACTGCTCAACCTGAACAGTCCCATTTTGAGAGGATCCAGAAGCAACCTGGCAAGTGTTGTGAGCTTGGGAGCACGTCACCATGGATCACACCAACCTCCTGGTGCCAGCTGGGGCAGGGAGAGCCGTGTCCCCAGTGCCAACCCAGGGCACTCACCAGCATTCATCTCCCTGAACTTCTGCTTCAGAGCCCGCGGGGTGAGGCGGTACTGGTCCAGCCCATCGTTCCACTTGATCTTCTCCAGGACATGGAGGTCTCCACCAACCAGCCAGTCTCCACTCTCCATCACCATCTGGGAATGACACACACATGCAGTGCAGAGGGGGCAGCAAGCACATCCTTTTCCCTCCTCTCCCTTTGGAAAGTGTTAGGCTTGACTCAGCTGGTGGGGTGACCTTCCCTTCTCCTTCAGCACGTTGTGGGCAGAAAACATCCTTACAGTGACCACAGGAACTGAATGTCACGAGCAGCACAAGGCATCAGCCACCCAGTCCCCACCACTGCACCCAGCTGGGTGCTGCACTCTGGCACAAGACCTTCCTCCACCTCACTCTTTGCTCTTTCCTCCTGGGAATATGCAGGAGGAATACGCCTGTTGCACGGTGAACACCTGCTGCTGATTCATTACAGGAGGTGTTTTAAGGGAGCTGGAAAGGACTAACACAGCTCTAGCCTTTCTAAGCTCAAGTCACTGGGTGGCACCCAGAGCTCTCCCTTTCTGAGGGATGAAGTTCCTTGTACTGCCAGAGAGTAAGTGGGAAGAGAAAAGCCATAAAAACATGACACCCCTGTTGGCTGCCTGTACAGAACAGCCAAATTGAGGAGCACTAACTCATTATCCCAGAATTTTACAGAATATTCTAAAATGGAAGGGACCCCCCAGGACCATGGAGTCCAACTCTTCAGTCCTGCCTGCTTGGGATGTGATGATTCCCAGCAGGGAACTGGGCAAACAGGGGACCCGTGGCCCTCAAAACCCGGGAAAGGTTCGGTTCCCCAGCCCCTGCCTGCGTTTGCCCCCCCCAGCCAGGCTTCCCAGGGCAGCAGGGGGACAACCCTTACCTGGATGTGGGGGTGCCTGGGGCAGGTGGTGCCCCAGACGCGGGCACAGCGCTCCTCCTTCCTGTGCTGGAAGAACTCGGGGCTCCTGAGCACGGCCAGCCTGCGGCCCTGGAAGCTGAGCGCCAGCGCCTCGCAGCCCTCCAGCCGCTGCCTGTCCTCCTCCGACACCGGCAGCACGATGGGGATGCTCAGGTTCACCACGCCATCTGCCAAGAGAGGGGCACAACTTTACCATGCTCCAGCCCCGGGGCTCGGGGACACAGGAAAAGGAGGTTTCCAGGGAAGTTTGGTCGTGGTGCCGGTTTCTCTTCGGCGCTGCCCATAAGTTGTGACGTCAGTGGGATACAAAAGCTCCTTATCCCAGGGACACTGATGTCTCTGAGATACTTGGAGCACCTCATTACTTCCTGCACTCCTGCTCTTCCCCTGGTTCTTCTCCATTAGTTGTAAAGGTGAAGAATGCAAATGTGCTTGGAAAACGCAGCCCTGGATGTAACCCCTGCCTCTCCTCTGGGAGAACCACCTCCATGGAGATAGTGTTCCCTGGAGCATCCCATCCCCTGCACACCTCCTGAGCTGCCTCTTCCAGCAGGGAGAACACCACCACGCTTGGTTTGTTTGGGTTTTTTTCAGGATATCTGGATACTGCTACTCCCCCTCCCTGACATCTCTGCACTGTCCATGTTTAATCCGTGTCTATACAGCAGGTCTGTATTTGCACATGAACTTCCTAATTTCGGTGCTGTCCCTAAATACCTTGCAATCATGTTGGTTTTATCCCTGTTCCCCCAATTTCCCAGTCCTCCACTAATGCCCTCCCATTTCTCCTTGGATAATTCCAGTGTTAATACAGAAGAATCAGTCCCTCCCATGAGTTTCCAGTCACAAACAAATCACTGATTCGCTTCGTTCTGATCCGACTGAAATCAGTTTGGACCCCTGAGAGTCTTAATTTGAGCATTTTGACTAGGTTGTAGATTTTTTAATCCTTATTAAAATATTTGCATTTACTTTTAATTCACAACCGGGTATCATTCGTCTGCCAGGCAGCAATTTTCATGAATAATCAGAATTACAGTCACATGGGATCCAATCAATATCAATTTCATACATTCAAATCACATTGACACTGATCAGTCAATGAAGTCAGCACAGGAAAAACAAAAAGCTGGATTATGAAACCAACCAATGATGCTGCAAGGGAGGATATTCAGGCTCTATTTCCCAATGCAAGATGGAGATTTAACAAAAGATCACCCCAGTGATGGTAATCACAGAACTGCACAGCTGGGATGTTTGTGGTCTGGATGACATGGGGTGTGTCAGGCCACGGTTAATAATTTCCTTTTTTTTTCTGTTTTTTAATAAATCTCAAAAAATTACAGCAAAAAAATCTCAATTGCAGTAATTTGTGTTCAGTCTAAGGACAGTTACATACATACCAGCTACCAAGCG